AGGTCAAACAGTTAAGTTGAAGCCAGATTAAAGAAGTCTTTAAAGACTTATATTGTGGAATAACTGAAATTTTTGTCTATGTTCTTCTCTAGGACTGTTGCAACTTATATTTAAGTCATTTTCTATCTTGAATTTTTGTTTGTGTGTGTTGTGTAATTTGGTGGTCGAGTTTCATTGTTTTTTGCATGTAGCTGTATAAATTTCCCAACACCATTTATTGAAGAGGCTGTTTTTTCTCCATTTTATACTTCTGCCCCCTTTGTTGAATATTAATTAACCATAGAGATGTGGGTTCATTTCTGGGCTCTCTATTCTGTTCCATTATATAAGCAGAGACATTGAAATAAAGAACAAACTGACAGTAACCAGAGGGGAGAGAGAGGATGATAACAGAGGAGAGAAGGGGAAGGGTCATCAAGGAACATGTATAAAGGACCCATGAACAAAACCACAGGGGGAAAGGAGCGGGGTGAGAGGTGGGGGTGGGTGGGCAGGGGAAAGTGGTGGGAAAATGGAGACAATTGTACTTGAACAACAATAAAAAATAAAAATTTAAACTACAAGTAGTGTTATATGAAAGCAAAGTTTAATTCACATTAATATAAACTTTTATATTCAATCTATTTATCTATTTATTTCAGATGTGCATTTGTTTCTTTCCTGTCCCCTGAATTAAATGAAGAGCTGTCTCATAAAAAAACATAGCTATGATATTTTTTTACCTTGTTTGAAACTAGCCCATATGCTATAGAGCATAATAAAAACACTGTGAGGCCAGCTTCAGTATTACTTTTCCTTCTTTTATGACCACCAAGACTGGTGTTCTGATCCAATGGAAAAGCCAATTGAAGGGCTATGGTATTGTTTTCATCATATTTTACAATTACTTAAAGATTGGAGTAAACCCATTCCTTAACTTTGTGGGGTTTTTTTGGTTCCTTAATATTTGTTCATAAAAAAATATTTTCATTAATAATGTTTGTTGTTTTCCAGCATGGGCTGGTATAGCTCAGTGGATTGAGTGCTGGTCTGCAAACCAAAGGGTTGCCAGTTAGATTCCCAGTCAGGGCACATGCCTGAGTTGTGGGCCAGGTCCTCAGTTGGGGGCAAACAAGAGGCAACCACACACTGATGTTTCTCTTCCTGTCTTTCTCCCTCCCTTCCCCTCTCTCTAAAAATGAATAAAATCTTTTAAAAAATAATAATTTTTGCTTTTTTCTGGATGTACTTTATTTTTTCTTACATTTTTTGTTGTTGTCTAACTACAATTGTCTCCATTTCCTCCCCACCACTCCCCCCACCCCAGCCATCTCCACCTCCAGCCCTTGATCCTTCTCCCCTTTGGTTTTGTCCATGTGTCCTTTATACATGTTCCTGACAACCTTTTCCCCCCATTATCCCTTCCCCTCTCCCCTCTGGTTACTGTCAGTTTGTTCTTAATTTTGATGTCTCTGGTTATGGTACATTTACACAATGGAATAGTCTGCAGCAGAAAGAAAGAAGGAGTTCCTACTCTTTGTGACAGCATGGATGGATTTGGAGAGCATCAGGCTAAGTGAAATAAACCAGGCAATGAAAGCCAAATAGTATATGATCTCACCTATAAGTGGAACCTAATCAACAAAGCAAACAAGCAAGCAAAATATAACCAGAGACATTGAAATTAAGGATGCACTTTTTTACTACATTTTCTTTTTGAAATTTCACTGATCAAAACTAGATAGAATACACTAATAATTTATTTTCAGTGCAGGATTTAGTGGAAAGATTTGCTTATCAGGTTGCTTTTTAATACCTGAGAATGTCAATCTAGCTTTTTTTTCACAATGGTACTATATTTAATTTGAAAGCTATTGACCTCCAACCAACTTTTGGTATTAATTATTTGTAGCTAATCTGGTTTTTATACTGTAGTTATATAATATCAATGTATATCCTCTCCTGTTTTAATATGACTATTTTAAAATTTATGAAACTTATTTAAAATATTCTGTCCTTCAGGGACAGAATACATGTACCTACCTCTATTTAATAGCATTTGAAGTTTTGGTATATTGGGTAAGTTTAAAACTTTTTAAAAAAATGCTAAGGTTTTCCCCCACATCAAAAGATTGTAAAGAAAAAGGATAAAAACAGAAGATATGGGGAGATTTGCCAAAGAGGAAAACATTACACTATGGAAGTTGAGAACAGACAACAATACCCTTATGAATGAAACTCAACATCCAGAGAAAATAGAAAGATAAAGAACTAAGGTAAAGGTTGGGGCAGAAAGAAGTTGAGTTTAAAGTGAGAAACAGTTTTAAAGATACTAAAATACTAATTGCAAACTTTAAGCAATTTTGTGTAAAATAGAACTGTATTTGTATATAGTGGGCTACCATATGGAAATAGATAGAAATCTGTCTAGAATTCTGACATGAGAAATGAGTAAAAATTTGGTGGAAGAAATATTATTTTATAGTAAAATCACACATTTTAAGTGTTCAGGGTATCTTTGAGAGTCCTTATAGTTAAATAGGGGGAAATACTTATGAATGAACGATATAAAATAGTTCCTCTTATCCACAGTGCATATGTTCAAGACCTCTGGTGGATACCTGAAACCACAGATAGTACTGAACCCAGTATACACTATTTTTTTTCCTGTACATGCATACCTATGGTAAAGTTTAATTGATAAACTTGGCACAAGTAAGATTAATGACAACTATTAAAATTACATCAATATACTATAATACAAGTTATGTGAATGTAGTGTCTCTCTCCCCCACCCCCCACATCTTGATAACCGATCTGATAATGGGGATGGCTCCTAGTGACTGATGGATAGAGATCATATAGTGGGTGGAGATGCTGGACAAAAAGGGATGATTCATGTCTCTCCCAGGCAGAATAAAGCGTAACAGTATGAGATTTCATTACACTACTCAGAACAGCGTGCAATTTAAAATTTATGAATTGTTTATTTCTGGAATTTTCCACTTAGTATAGTCAGACTGTAGTTGACTATGGGTAACTGAAACCATGGAAAGTGAAACCATGGATAATGGCAGACTACTATATAGAGGGGGGATGAGAATTGTGGAGAAGAAGGACCTCCCTTTTCTTGTGTGCATTTTTTACAAGACTTGATAGAGTACAGTAGGTCCTGGAATAACATTTTATTCAAAATCCTTTTGTTGTTATAACATTGATGAAATGCCATAGGAACTTTACCCTTGTTTATATCAAGTAAACTGTGGTAAAATTGGTTCTGTTATATGTTGTTTCACTTTAGTCACAGAACCTATCAACAACTTCAAGTGATGACTTACTGTATAAAATTTGTTTAGAGAAATGTTTGTCTCTTTCTTGATTGCTTGACCATCTCATCCCCAACCCCAGTGATTGAATTCAGTTCTTCCCAATGCTCACGTACATTTAAAAGGCAATTCCCTTATACTTACTGCAATTTAGACTCCATATATGAATTTTTTTAAAAGCCACATTTAGCCTTCTGCATGAGAATATTCCCCTAAAATTACCATCTCCTTTTACATCTATTTTTATAAATAACAAGGACAGGAGATGATTTAGCAATGGAAAACAGCAAGGGTGGGATATATAATGTTTGTGTTTATAAATGAAAAGGACATTTCTCAAAGATTTGATATTTGTGAACAAAATCATATGTCAATCACTATTGGATAAAGAAAAATATGAAACATAATTCTGTTCTAATGTATATTTATATTGTATAAATACTTTTGAAATAAAAATATGTCTCCCTCCAGAGAGAAAGTGGCTGGATCACATTATCTCTTTGAAGTTCAAGTTCTATAGATCCAAGCATTTTCTTTAAAAAGCAATTTAAAAATTATGATGAGAAAATGTTTAGACTGAAATTTATATTATATACATATATGTAGGATCAATATTTCTAAAACTGCATGTTTAGCATGTCATGTCTTTTGTTTCATAAATTCATGAAACAAGTTTAAATAAAAGTTTTAGTTGAGGTCATTAAAATATGAAGGGGATAGACTAATCATTGCTATTAGTTCTTATATTACATTATATATTATATTATTAGAAAATAATTTGTATGTGTATCTTCATGATTTTTATAACAATACTTTTCCATCTTTGAAACTGCAGACTCAGTATTGCCAAAATCTTCATTTTGTGCCTCATTACTAAATTGTCTATTATCTTTTTTGGCAATATACCAGCCTATTATAAAATTTATGTATTTCATTATCCCCAGAGTAGACCAAAGGAACAACTACCTATTTGTTCTGTGATTACTAGTCTGTTAATTCTTCTGTAGACTTTAGGCATTTGAGGACAATTATGTCTGATGTTGGGGCTCCCTGGGATCCCTTTTTTCCAAAGATAATTTACTCCCAAACTTGTAGCTTGAAAGATAATTGATCAAGCAGCATCAATGTACAAAGTACAAGGATGCCTAAAACACAATCCCTAATTTTCAAAGAGAAGAAACACTCTAGTTGGTAGAAAGTAACTCCTTTTCTTGCAGCCAACACAGATGCTCTGTACCTTACTTTCTCAGAAGGAAAAAAAAACAAGATAAAACAACAACAAGGTGTGTCAGTAAAGTTCTATAAAAGGACACTTAATAAATATATTATTATGGAAAGAGTGTTAGTCTAACACCCTAATTCTGTACATGGGAAAATGAAAGTATACATAGTAATTGTCTTTCAAAACAAGGTAAAAGCCAATGTTGTATTAAAAAATGAATGTATATGCCTCTCTCCTTATTTGTTCTTAATCTAAATTAGTATTAATTTTATCGTTTTACTACAGTGAATTAAATAAACATTGTTAAATATCAACTAAGCTTTTCAGGTTTTTCTTCTTTTGAGTAATTAGTCTACTGTTTTTATTTTCCAAATAGGTTGCACACACATCATTATGTAAACAGACTTTTAGCAATGGGAATTTATGTACCCATTTTACCTTGATTAGTGGTGCAACTCATGTTCTTGTTGTAGGGCTTCGATCAGCTTCGTCTTGAAGGCTTGCTTTGTGATGTAACCCTGATGCCAGGTGACACAGATGATGCCTTCCCTGTGCATAGAGTCATGATGGCCTCTGCTAGTGATTACTTCAAGGCCATGTTCACAGGTAGGTTGCCTTTTTAAACTCTACATTCACATTAAAAACTATGAAAAGTACATGTTTAAATCTTTTTATTTCTAAAGTGCATTCAGTTTCTTTGGTCTGTGTCTTTACAAGAAGAAACTGTTTCAAAAGGAATACACACCCAGTAAGTGTGGTTGTTGGTGGTGAATTTTTAACTTGGGAAATGGAAGTACATTTTTCATATTTCTGCCCTTCTTTATTTCACAACTTTTCTTTTCCATATGCATATATGAATGGGCATCAGAGACTCTGGGTCCCACTACTACAACCTTTAATTCATCAAAAGATATGAAGTTGCAAGAGAATAGTTTGGAAGCCCTTGCATCATACAGACCTCCATTAGTATAGGGATACTCCTTTTTAAGTACTCTCTTTTAATTATAAAATATGCAGAAGCCTGACTCTGACATGAATGCTTACACAGAATAAAATTTTTTCTTCATATTATTGTATCTAATTAGCAGCAGAAGTGAGTTTGACCTTAATTAAATTATCTGCCTTCATTTAATTGAATGTCTTTTTATTTAAGGTGGAATGAAAGAACAAGATTTAATGTGCATTAAGCTTCATGGCGTGAGCAAAGTCGGTTTAAGGAAAATTATTGATTTCATTTATACTGCAAAGCTTTCTCTTAATATGGACAACCTTCAAGACACACTGGAAGCTGCCAGTTTTCTACAGATTCTACCAGTTTTGGATTTCTGCAAAGTATTTCTCATATCAGGGGTAAGACATTTTCAAATCTTTTTCTGCAGCAGACTCTGATGTCTCTTGTTTAGGGTAGACTCATGAATCTTTTGTGTAGACATGTGAAACTTTGGCAATTAAAGAGACATCATGTACTGTGTGGTATGGAAGCAAGATGGAAAAAAATACAGGTGTATTAAGAAAGAGAATAATTTAAGAAAAGCCTTCCATGTAATCAAGTGACACCACACCATAAGGTTTGATAGTAATATATACATTAACCTGTTTGATAATGATTTATATTTTAATTTTATTTTATTCACCTTAATGATTTTATGTACACAGACATTAAGTGCAATCCTGTAGAAACATAATCTGAGCTTCTAGAATTCTTTTCAGATAGGCTCAAGCAATCTGTTTTCTTCCTTTAAATATGGAAGCTAGGTCTTTAAAAAAAAAACTAACACCTATGTATAAATCTTTGGGAATATGTTTTGTCCCTTCCCAGTGTGGCTCAGTTGGTTTGAGCATCATCTCCTAACAGAAAGGCTATGGATTTGATTCCCAATCAGGGTACATACCTAGGATATGGGTTCCATCTGTGGTCTGGGTGCATATGATCCCTGCTTGGGGTGCAAACTGGAGACAGCCAATCAATGTTTTTTTTCACATCAGTGTTTCTCTTTCCCTTCCTCTCTTTCTAAAAACAATGAAAAACATGTCCTTAGATGAGGATAAGAAAATAAAAATTAAAAACCAGAATAAATTTTGAGTCCATTGAATCATGTAGTGCACTGAATTGTTTATAGCCTTCTTTAACAGATAAGAGAGAGCACATATAACTACCAGCTAATGAACATTAGCAGTCATCAGGTCCTGAAGACAGCCTCTAATTTTAGTTGAGGCCCTTAAATTTTTCTTCTGGAAAATGAAATACTTTGGTTGCAAATAAATATTGCCAAGATTTCTAGAGCCTCTAGAGCTTGCTTTTGTGATGGAAAAGTATGACAGCAGTAGATTTCAGTATGTTTTTTTTTTCTTTTTTTAAATTTATTTTTTTATTGATTATGCCATTATAGTTGTTCTATTCCCCCCTTCATTCCCCTCCACCCTACCCCCCAACCCACCATTACCCCCCTTTAGTTTATGACCATGTGTCTCAAGTTCTTCAGATTCTATATTTCCCATACTATTCTTGCCCCCACATCTATTTTCTATCTACTGTCTATGCTACTTATTTTCTGTACCTTCTTCCCCCTTCTCTTCCTCCCACTCCCCTGTTGCTAACCCTCTTTGAGATCTTCATTTCTATGTTTCTGCTCCTGATCTAGCTGTCCTTTTAGTTTGCTTTTATTTTAGGTGTGGTTGTTAATAATTGTGAGTTTGCTGTCCTTTCACTGTTCATGTTTTTTTAACTTCTTTTTCACAGATAAGTCCCTTTAACATTTCATATAAGGGCTCGGTGGTGATGAACTCCTTGAATTAGGTCTTATCTGAGAAGCATTTTATCTGTCCTTCCATTCTAAATGAAAGTTTTGCTGGATAGAGCAATCTTGGTTGTAGGTCTTTGGATTTCATGACTTGGAATATTTCTTTCCAGCCCCTTCTTGCCTGTAAGGTCTCTTTTGAGAAATCTGCTGACAGTCTGATGGGGACTCCTTTGTAGGTGACTGTCCCCTTAGCTCTTGCTGCTTCTAGGATTCTCTCCTTCATTTTAATTTTGGCAAATGCAATGATGATGTGCCTTGGTGTGTTCCTTCTTGGGTCCAACTTCTTTGGTACTCTATGAGCTTCCTAGATTTCCTGGAAGTCTATTTCCTTTGCCAGATTGGGGAAATTCTCCTTTATTATTTGTTCAAATAAGTTTTCCACTGGTGGCTGTTCCTTTCCTTCTTCTGTTACACCTATAATTTAGAGGTTGGAGCATTTAAAGATGCCCTGGAGGTTCCTAAGACTCTCCTCATTTTTTTTTTTTAAAGCTGGGGAAAGACTTCCCCCTTTTTCTTTTTTTTTTTTAAGATTTTATTTATTTACCTTTAGAGGGGAAGGGAAGGAGAGAGGGAGAGAAACATCAATGTATGGTTGCTTTCCATGCGTCCCCTGCTGGGAATTGGCCTGCAGGGAACTGGTCTGCAACCCCGGCATGTGCCCTGACTGGGAATCGAACCACGATTGTCTGCTTTGCAGGCCCATGCTCAATCCACTGAGCTACACCAGCCAGGGCTCTCCTCATTTTTTTGAATTCTTGCTTCTTCACTCTTTTCTGTTTGGCCATTATTTGCTTTCTTCTGGTCCAATCCATTGATTTGAGTCCCAGTTTCCTTTTCATCGCTATTGGTTTCCTGTGCAATTCTATTCATTTCAATTAGTTTCGTCTTCATATGTTTGTCTAATTTGTGGCTATAATCAACCAGTTCTGTGAGGATTCTGATCACCAGTGTTTTAAACTTTGTGTCTGAGAGTTTTGCTATTTCTTCATCACTTAGATTTATAGGCTCTGGGGCTTTCAGATCTTGAGCCATTTTTGGTCTGTTCGTGCCCTTTAAGTGTGAGGAGCGGCGCCTTGGACTCCCAGGTCGCTGGGTTGTGACACTGTATGTGGGGGCGTGTTCAGAGCGGGGAAATGGCGACCCCCTCTGCTGTTTCACTCCACTGGGTGAGGAGCCCAGCCTTAGGTGGTTCCCCAGGGCAGGGCCACTCAGGTCGCTGGGCTATGAAGCTGCATGTGGAGGTGGGGTCAGAGTGGGGAAATGGCAGCGCCCTCTGCTGAAGCTCATCGCTGGGGCCTGCTGGGTCCCGTCTAATCGCCCACTCCATTGCTTGTCTATCTGCGCACGAATGCGTGAGCAGAGTCAACCCTCAGCTCTGCTCCCTCGCTGTTTCCCAGAGGTCACTTGCTGGATTGCTCACTAGGTCCAAACCTGTGCCTGGGTTCCCTGGACCTGAGTCATCTGACTGAGTTTTTCTGTGCAACCCGGCTCTACCAGCTGCTGGTTTCGCCCCTCTTACCAGTCAGGTTGAAGAATTTGTTGTTATCAGACTTCTGAAAAGTTCAATTTTCTGTGTTCTGGCTGTGTTTTCTATTGCTAAAATTTAGTTGTCTCTAAAGTAGGTTGTATGAGAAAGCACGGCATATCCACCTATGCCTCCATCTTGGCGGAAGTTCAGTATGTTTTATGATTTATTATATTGATGGAGAATATGGTTTTCTATTATTGGTTTTAACTCATTCCCATTTTAATATTGGGAAATCATTGCCGTTAGGCCTTTAAAATTGCATAAACTAAACACAGAGCCTTAACTTTAAAACATTAAGTTTGAAGAGAATATGTCCTTAATGATTTTATTGATAAGCTGTTCATTATCTTATAAAGTCAGCTAATAGTTAATTTAACTGGGTTATTGAAAGTGTCATTTCTTTGTCTACAAAGCATTTAAGGAAGAGCTAACCCCTATTCTCCACAGACTATTCCAAAAATCCAGAAGGATGGAAAACTCCCAAATTCTTTTTATGAAGCCAGCATCATCTTAATTCCAAAACCAGATAGAGACACAACAAAGAAAGAAAACTTCAGGCCAATATTGCTGATGAACATAGATGCTAAAATCCTCAACAAAATATTGGCAAATCGCATCCAACAATATATCAAAAAGATCATACACCATGACCAAGAGGGATTCATCCCAGGGATGCAAGGATAGTTCAGTATTCGCAAATCAGTAAATATAATACATCACATAAACAAAAGCAAAGACAAAAACAACATCATATCAATAGATGTGGAAAAAGCTTTCGGTAAGGTACAACACCCATTTATGATAAAAACACTCAGCAAAGTGGGAACACAGGGAGCATTTCACAATATAATAAAGGCCATATATGAGAGACCTACAGCCAATATCATACTCAATGGGAAAAAACTAAAAGCTTTTCCAATAAGATCAGGAACAAGATGAGGATGTCCACTTTCACCACTTCTATTCAATATAGTATTAGAATTTTTAGCCACAGCAATCAGGCAAGAAAAGAAAATAAAAGGCATCCAAATAGGAAAGGAGGAAGCAAAACTGTCACTGTTTGCACATGACATTATAGTGTATATGGAAAATCCTATGGACTCTACCCAAAAACTGCTCAAACTAATTAATGAATTTGGCAAAACAGCGGGTTACAAAGTCAATATCCAGAAATCAAAGGCATTTTTGTATACCAACAATGAATCAGCAGAAGCAGAAATCAAAGAAAAAATCCCATTCGATACAGCAAAAAGAAAAATAAAATACCTGGGAATAAACCTAACTAAGGAGGTAAAAGACCTGTATGCAGAAAACTACACAGCCCTGAAGAAAGAAATCAAGGAAGACACAAACAAATGGAAACATATACCTTGTTCATAGATTGGAAGAATTAACATCATCAAAATGTCCATATTACCCAAAGCAATATATACATTCAATGCAATACCTATTAAAGTACCAATGGCATATTTCACAGACACAGAACAAACACTTCAAAAATTTATATGGAACCATATACGAGCCCGAATAGCAGCTGCTTTTTGAGAAAGAAGAACAAAGTAGGAGGGATCACGATACTTGATATCAAACTGTATTACAAGGCCACTGTAATCAAAACAGCCTGGTACTGGCATAAAAACAGGCACATACACCAATGGAACAGAACAGAGAGCCCAGAAATCACCCCAACTCTCTACAGTCAATTAATATTTGACAAAGGGGGCAGTAACATAAAATGGAGTAAAGATAGCCTCTTCAGCAAATGGTGTTGGGAGAACTGGACAGCTACGTGCAAAAAAATGAAACTTGAGCACAGACTTACACCATACACCAAAATAAATTCAAAGTGGATAAAAGACTTAAATGTAAGCCGTGACACCACTAAAGTCCTAGAGGAGAACATTGGCAAGAAAATCTCAGATATTTCACGCAGCAACTTTTTTACTGATATGTCCCCTAGAGCAAGGAATGTAAAGGAAAGAATAAACAAATGGGATCTCATCAAAATAAAAAGCTTCTGC